CCTGATATCAAGATTTAAGACATATTTAAACATATATTTTAATAAAAAAGATTAAAAAAAGTATTGAAAACTGTAAAGTTAGTATATACTACTGTTGCAGATTTCATGGAAATCAATTTTGCATCGGGTGCTGCAGTTGCAGATTTCGTTTGAACAGGTTTTTGTTGGGTTTTGGAATAACCTACATAATTAAAGTCCAACATGAAAAATCAGAAATCAGTACCAAACAATATATATAATATATATATATATATATATATATATATATATATATATATATATATATATATCAACGATGATCTAATAAGACGATAACATACTGGTGTTACAGGTTCTGAAGGTTCATTGGTTTTGAGACTAACAGGAGACGTTTCATTACTTTGTACAATCTTCTCACTTGAAATACCCTAGAAAATATAAAGAAACAGGAAAAATGTTTAAAAGAAATGCAATTTAGAACTAACATTGACAACATATATTTTCAATAAGATTACTTACAATTGTATCAGACAGATTTGGAAAGTCAGCTCCTTTTGCATTAAGATGAGCCAAAACTAGCTTTAGTGTTTGATCTTGTTCATTAACCTTTGTAGACAAAGCATTGAGTTCAGCATCTTTTTTCTCAAGCTCAAGTTTTCCATTATGCAGTGCAACTTTAAGATCTTTAATTTCTTCCTTAGATGACCCTTTGCTGCGAGGAACATTGAAATATCTGTTGTAAGTGACTCCCGTGCCGACACCCTTTAAAAATCCGCCCTTTTCCTTGCAAAAAACTAAGGTCATGGCATCCGTTCCTGGTTCAACATTTACTTGTCCTTCTTTTATCTGCTTCTCATGTTCCATCTACCAAACAAAAAATTAATAATTATTGTCTTAATAACAATGATTAAAATATTTAAAGTAAAAGAAAAAGAAAAGTGTAGTGAAGTTACTAGTTTATCAGCCATGATTTTAACATCTTCATCCTTAAATTCTCCTTTACTTTCACGCCCTTTACACCACATAACTGACCTTGGGGGCATTTCCTCCTTCGAAATCACATTCTCTTCAATCTTGATAAAAAAAATTAAATTATAAAGAATATGAAACAAAAGCATGTTAAATAAAATGATATGAAGTTAATGTAGCTAATGACCAAGCTTACCGACTTCCTCCTAAGAGTTGTATACCCCCCTCGTCCCATCCGATGAGCATACTTTGACATCTTTCTCGCTTTGATAGTCCTTTGTGACACATTCTGTGAAATAAAAGTAACATATTTGTCACGAACTTTTATAACCCAGATTATGATAAATAAATGAATAAGTTTTGAAAAAAGATTTTAACATTAAACTCTTGAGATTGTGTATAAGTCACAAATTTGTTCCAATCATCTTGTTCAGTGATTAGTGCACGATAACGAAGTGGGATTTTTTCAAGCTTTTTGGGATTGCCTAGATGTGGTTTGATGTAATCTGCATACAACTTTCTTCTGAAATTCCGTAGAAGAATACCAAGTCTATTCATCACAAATTGTTTTCCACTTTCATGAACCTCAAAATAGCGCTAAAAAAAACAACGAGAATGTTAGTATTTAAAACTTGATTTTTACATATATTATGTTATACAGATTAAAAAATTGAAGAAAATATTTACTGTTATCTCTTCCCATAGTATGTCCTTCATTTCCGGTTTAACTTTTTTCCAGCAAAGAGCACTTAATCCCACCTTCTCGCGGACAAGATCACCCAAATAGCTAACAAAGACTGCATTATTCTTCCCTGTAAACTTACCGAATTCATCAAACCTGACACGTTTTTTTTTCCACCAGAATTGACATATTCAGTCTTCAGTTTTGGCAATCGAGTCATGCCCCTCTTCCTATTTGACCTTGTAGGAACTGTTTTATGGATTTCTTCTTCCGAATCTGATTGGCTATTGTAGTGAATGTCTTTATTTTCACCATTCTCTGTATCCGAATCATATTCTTGGTTTCCATCATCTAGCTCATATTCTGTATTATAGTCAGGGATATCCTCATGTTGTTCCTTGTCAACCTCCATGATTCTTCTGTTGACAAAACAGATTGAAAATAAGTTTGATTGTTTATAAGTTTAATGATAATGTATGAACAAATAATATTACAGACAATTGCTCACATAAACATTTCATCGAACAGTTGGTGTGCAAGAAGCACACCAATATGAAGAATCAAAATTCTTTGTGTTATGCATGATCCGTGATCAATACAATCAATAACATTGAAACTATACGTACACAAACAATATACTTACACTAGAAAGCTTGATGAATGATGAACTGAAGTATGATCCTTTTGGGATATAACCTAACGCTAAACAAAACAATGGTGGAATAAATGACAGTCTATTAAATATTAAAATGATTTAACAGGTCCTAAATTGATGGAGGTTACCAAAAAATTACCGGAATTTCCTTCATCCGATGGATTGATCTTCATAGTTTTGGCGGTGCGATAGATGAAGATTTCCCGCTTTGATTTGGAGCCCAAAAACCATACAAAAAAATATTTGTCTCTCATTAGTTTTGTTTTTAAATTCGTTTGACAGATTCAAATGTGTTTCAAATTTTGATCTCATAGTAATCCCACACGATTAGAAGAAAAAATCGTGGTTTGGAAACATGTCCTGCCTTTTCAAAAATTAGTATGATTTATTTGGTAAGAATATAAATATTACATATTTGGTCCTTCTAAGTTAACAATTTATTTTTTGGAAAAACATTATGACTATTTGAAATAAAAAATATTATAAGTTAAAAAATTAAATATACAAGGGAAAAATATTATTATATAACAAAAATAATATGGTCTAGTAGGCGTAATTATTTATAATAATAATTTATATGCCATAACTCCATAAACCAATGACTATCCTATGGTATTACACACTTACAACCCGTACATGACATAATGAGGTCCAAACCCACAACCAAGACCCATACATGACCTAAAGAGGTCCAAACCCACAACCCAAACACCCGTACATGACCTAATGAGGTCCAAACCCACAACCAACACCCATACATGACCTAAAGAGGTCCAAACCCACAACCAACACCCGTACATGACCTAATGAGGTCCAAACCCACAACCAACACCCATACATGACCAAATGAGGTCCAAACCCACAACCAACACTATGGACATGACCAAATGAGGTCCAAACCCACAACCAACACCCATACATGACCTAAAGAGGTCCAAACCCACAACCAACACTATGGACATGACCAAATGAGGTCCAAACCCACAACCAACACCCATACATGACCAAATGAGGTCCAAACCCACAACCAACACCCAAACATGACCAAATTAGGTCCAAACCCACAACTAACACTATGGACATGACCAAATGAGGTCCAAACCCACAACCAACACCCATATATGACCTAAGGAGGTCCAAACCCACAACCAACACTATGGACATGACCAAATGAGGTCCAAACCCACAACCCAACACCCATACATGACCTAAAGAGGTCCAAACCCACAACCAACACTATATACATGACCAAATGAGGTCCAAACCCACAACCAACACCCATACATGACCAAATGAGGTCCAAACCCACAACCAACACCCATACATGACCAAATGAGGTCCAAACCCACAACCAACACCCATACATGACCAAATGAGGTCCAAACCCACAACCAACACTATGGACATGACCAAATGAGGTCCAAACCCACAACCAACACCCATACATGACCAAATTAGGTCCAAACCCACAACCAACACTATGGACATGACCAAATGAGGTCCAAACCCACAACCAACACCCATACATGACCTAAAGAGGTCCAAACCCACAACCAACACTATGGACATGACCAAATGAGGTCTAAACCCACAACCAACACCCATACATGACCTAAAGAGGTCCAAACCCAAAACCAACACTATATACATGACCAAATGAGGTCCAAACCCACAACCAACACCCATACATGACCAATGAGGTCCAAACCCACAACAACACCATATACATGACGAAATGAGGTCCAAAACCCACAACCAACACCCATACATGACCAAATGAGGTCCAAACCCACAACCAACACTATGGACATGACCAAATGAGGTCCAAACCCACAACCAACACCCACACATGACCAAATGAGGTCCAAACCCACAACCAACACTATGGACATGACCAAATGAGGTCCAAACCCACAACCAACACCCATACATGACCAAAAGAGGTCCAAACCCACAACCAACACTGTGGACATGACCAAATGAGGTCCAAACCCACAACCAACACCCATACATGACCTAAAGAGGTCCAAACCCACAACCAACACTATATACATGACCAAATGAGTCCAAACCACAACCAACAACCCCATACATGACCAAATGAGGTCAAACCCAAAACCAACACCCATACATGACCAAATGAGGTCCAAACCCACAACCAACACCCATACATGACCTAAAGAGGTCCAAACCCACAACCAACACTATATACATGACCAAATGAGGTCCAAACCCACAACCAACACCCACACATGACCAAATGAGGTCCAAACCCACAACCAACACCCATACATGATCAATTGAATTAAAAAATTCATTTTACATTTTTATTAAAAATTTATATATAAATTTATTTATTTGTTTGATAAAAAAAACAATGCTAGTATGGATATTATATTTAATTAATATTGTAGATAGTTTTTTACATGAATATAATACATATTAATGTAAATACTAGATATATTAATGTGTAATACAAAAATGTGTAATCGTTATCGTAGCCGAATAGCCGTCGTTCAAAATCCACCTCTGTAGACTGCAATTAATCGGAGAAGTGATGGCCTCAGTCGACGTCCTTTCACCTCCGACTGATGATCCTTATAAACCGTTCGCTTATGTCAATTTCGTCATTCTCACATATTCATTACGTTACGATAACTTCGATTACTCCTTCTTCCTCTTTGAAAAAAAATACGTCGATTTTAGGAAGAGAAGATGAATGCTGATCCGTGGGCCCGTCCGAACTTCAATCTCTGGAGTGTAAGCGCAAAACCACCAAAAAACAAACTGGTGGTTGAATACGGGAAGCCAAACGACAAACCATTCACCATTCGCGTTGTCCATGGTGGGTTCTTTACAGACTACCCAGGCAAGGCGTATCAACAGACCAAGGTTCACTTCATTTCTTATGTGAACATCGATTTGTTAGACATGGAGTTGCTTGGGCGTTTTTCTAGAAGCCGTGGGTATACCAGTTTGGGGAACTGGTATCATATGCCCATCGAAGACACAGTGGGTTGTCAATGGTTCCAATACTAAATGATGAATGTTTCGAACTATTCAAGATGTTAGTTAGGGCCCACCAATTCAAAGAGATTGAACATCTCTATGTTGAACACATGCCTGTGTTTGTTCCAAACAATTTCCCACACTTTTTGATGAACTCTCCAGCCAAACGTGTTGAGAAGCTTATTCACATGTTTGTAACAGAACATACAATGGCTTCGGTTGATGATGGAATAGCATACGTCCAACATATGCTAAACATGAGAATTCCAAGAGAAAAAATGGAGGATGCTATGGACATGGCAAAAGAAAATGTCATAGCATGGAAAAACATAGCCTAGGTGAACTATGTTGTAATCTTTTTTGTGATTAATATAGAGTGAATATGATACTCTACTTTTGTACTTAATATGAAACTCTTTTATTTAATGAATTGTTATATATTATGTCTATAGGTGATATTGTTTTGATTATATAGTAAGTCTACATTTGATGTTATATATTATGTCCCTGTTTTGATATATTATGTTGTGAAAAAGGCAATGTTGTTTGCTAACACAGGGGTATAACAGTCTATTACATGTTATATGCCCAAATTTGATGGTGTTTGCAATATAAATGTCTTAGGGGCAAAATCAGAATTAGTTGTTATTATGATTTTATATGTTAATTATATCCATGTTTTGCATAACTTGTGACTGGGTTGACAATAGAAATGGGGTAAAAAAGGATAAATTGGGGTACACACTAGTTGAACTAAAAGATTAGGCCATAAAGGTGATCCCTTCATATTGGTCTCACAAGCACAACAAGTTTTTTACGTGACAGACCCACTCGATAAAAAAATGTCTATTGTGTTCAAGACACCTCCCAAAAATTACAGAGATACATATGAAGATGTAGATGAAGAATTTAGTACTATTGTTCCTCATAATGATAACATTTTGCCACGTGTAGACACACTTGACTTGCAGAAGGAAAATGATTATTTTCGTACTGATTGTCACGTTATTCTTATATGTACGGTACGTGTTTCTTAATGTCATTAATTACATTTGTAGCTATAATATTTCTCCTTCTTTTAACACTTAATGATCTTTATTTTTTGTTTGTAGAAGGGAAAGGCCAAACCTTGAGCATAGCGTTATGTGGAGAATAAGAAATGACAAAAATGACGATGTACTTTAGTTAATATCTTTTTACCATATTATACCATTAAACTATTCTGGTGTAATATTGTTATAACTCAAACATATTTTTTTTTCGGTTTTTTACTGTTATATTCTTACACATGTTATAACATAAACTGCATGTAATATCAATGTACTTTCGTTATGCAATGTTACACAAGTTATGTTGTATTCATTTCATTTATTTATCATAATATTCTGTTAAAATAATTTGTAATCTTTTCATTTATTATGGTGTGTTTATCCGGTGCAATTAAAAGAATAGATGACAAAAAGGGCAATTGGTCCTTTCTTATAACTCTTATTCAAGACGACATTATTTTATTTTATGACTATATTTACATATAGACACATATAATAGCTGTAAATGTAACTAAATGCTACCTACACACACAATATTTGTTTATTCTTAAAGCCAATTCATAATATTTTGACACACATAATAAAAGGTACATGACCATAAGTAACATATTTAATGAACGACCCCTAATTATAACGATAAGACATTATTTTTCTTTTATGACTATATTTACATATAGACACAATAAATAGCTGTAAACGTAACTAAATGCTACCTACACACACATTATTTGTTTATTCTTAAAGCCAATTCATAATATTTTGACACACATAATAAAAGGTACATGACCATAAGTAACCAATAGTAACTTCTTTTAATTTTTTGCGTAAACTAAATACAACTAGTATAGAACCGCCCTATGGACACACAAATAATTAGTGTGACCAATATTTGTCACCTTTTAGCTACTTTGTCTGTTATGTGGCTAAAAAGGCAACAGGTTATAGACACACAGAGAACTAACTCATGTGACGATAATTTTATCTACTGTCTCTCATAAAAAAGTGTGACAATCTTAATCGATATATATGGCTGATTGTGACCTATGGCCTCAGTGTTCGAGTGTGACTAATATTTGTCACATTTGGTATAATTAAGTGTCGTAAAAGTTTTGATTGTCTATATAATGGCCACACAATCTAATTTAAATGTATCCAAAAACAATCTCTAAATTTTTTTAGTGACTTTTGGCCACACTTTTAAGAAAAAGTGTCACAGGCCGTTTTTCGGAAAGTGTGACCGTAGGTCATTTTTGTACTAGTGTTTTATACTCGATTCATTGTTTCATCAATTGGTATCAGAGCAGGAATCACATCTGTGATCTGATTTTCACCTATTCAAAAAGTTTTTGAATCAATTTTTTGGTTCAAAAGTTTCCAAACTTTTTGATAGTGAAAAAATTTGTCTAGATTTTAGTTTGTGATTCGATTCTACATTTGAATTGTTGAATCGAGTGTTCTTCTTGTAATTCCGATTTGATTCAACTAGTTTGTTTCCAAATTTCCGAATCTTCTTAAAAATTTTCAAAATCATCTTCCGTACAACAATGGCGAGCTTCAATCTCAATTCGATGACCTCGTTTTCTCATCTGTTAGGATCATCGACCAAAATTCCAATGCTAATCCCTGAATATTATGATCAGTGGGCTGATCGTATGCAGGATTATCTGAATGGTCTTGATGAAGAATTATGGTAATGTATTACTGGAAATGTCAATGTTCCAGTGAATGTTCAAGTAATTGGATCATCTTCTACAAGTTCTGGTGTTGAAAATCAAACTGATCGTCTGAAGAAACTGGAGAAGAGATGTATGAGGGAATTACGAGGAGCTTTACCTCCAGTTGTGTACAATTACGTAAGGAGTTGTACAACTGCTAAGGAGATCTGGAACAATCTGAAAGATAAATTTCAAGGAAGTGAGAAGACAAAAATCAATTCAGTCAAACAGTGTTTGGTCGAGCTGAAAGATTTCAGACAAAAAGAATGTGAAACAATTGAAGTTTACTATGATCGTCTGAACGAGTTAATCTATCGTTGCAATTGCTATGGAATTACAAGGACTTCAATGGAATTCAATCTCATATTTGTGATGGGTCTTCGAAAAGAATGGAGAAGCGTGAGTATGATGGTGAAGAATCAGCAAAGTTTTGATACATCAACTCTCAGTGATTTGTACAATCAGTTGAAGACACACGAAATTGAGGTAAATGAAATTGCTGAGGAATCGAAGCTGAATTTGGGAGGTCCATTGGCACTTTTGTCCAAGATATCTGAGAAAGAAGATGAAAATGGTGATTTAGAGGAAGAAGAGGGATTCATCATGAATTCGGATGATGAGGCAATAGCATTTTACTCGAATAATCATGTTAAGAAGTTTTTCAAAAAGCCGTTCAATCCGAAGGCTAAGCTTGCTGAGGTAAAAGGAAGTGTTGTGAGTAAAACTGTTGTTGAGGAGAAAAAGAAGGTTGAGAAGAAAGATTCGAAGGTGTCTGAAGGAAAAAGTGAGAAGAAGCTGAAAGGTGATGCTGGAATAGATTGTCATTATTGCAATGGAGCCAATCATCTTGCGAATGATTGTATGCTTCGGAAGAAGGATGAGAGGAAGAATAAACTAAGAGATGAGGCTTATTATGCAGAGAGGCTTGAGGAGGTTCGTGCAAAAGCTAAGAATTTGTCATTGGTCGCAAAGGGTGAACAGGAGGAGGATGGAACTTATCAAATCTGGTCATCCGGATCAAACGATGAAGAAATGAAGAATCCAACGCATGGAGCAATGTATGCGAAGATGGAGGATGACTCAGATGAAGAGGAATTCGAAGTGAAAGGAAGATGCTTCGTATCCAAGGCAGCAGTCAAATCTCCAATGACAACAAAGGTACAAAATATTCTCGAATCTTTTAATATTCCTACACATGCTTATGACTCTGAACTAATATCTTTTGATGAGACTGTTACTTATTTTGATTCAATTGTTGTGTCTACTAGCAATGAGGCCAACAAGTTGTCCATGGAGTTATTAGAGACCAAAAATCGATTAGACATGAAAATAAGTAAAGTTGATTGTTTGGAATTACAGATAACGAATATTATGTGTGATAGGGATACTTTATTAAATGAAGTCAAACTTTTGCTAGCACAAAGAAACATATACAGTAATTCTGCTAAGAGACTTTATGGCAAATTAACTGATTTACATCATTCATGTGAAATAAGTAAAGAGCAACATTGAAAATTACTACCTTTTCTAGCATACGAAAGAGCTAAGGTAGATAATATTTCGTATGATTGTGAGAAAATAATAGCTGAATTTGACAAAGTTCCTGATGATAGATATAAATATGGAATTGTCAAAATTGATGAATGTCTTGATGCGAATGAATTAGTTAACATAGTGAATGATACTTTGACTAAATCTGAACAAATCCAAATTTTGAAAAAGACTAAGAATTCAACATCTGATTCTCAATCTAATTTTGCCGATATTGATGATAATTTTGACAATATTAGTGAAAGTAGTGATCTTGAGGATGTTTATTGTTCCCAGTTGTCTATTGTTAATGTTGCATCAACATTTAAAGGGAAAGAAAAAGTTAAGGACTTGATGGTTAAGAAAGAAACTGATATACCCTCAACTTCGAAAGTTTGTGATTTGGACTTCGTGGATATCAGAGATAGTCAAACTGATGATAGTGATGATGAAACTGAAGAGAAAAGTTCGAAGAAAAAGAAATCTTCAAAGGAAGAAGAAATTGCTCGAATTGTGGTTGATCAAGTGTATGGTGATACACAAAAGTTCGAAAAAGTAATGAATGAACAAGGTGCTCACTATCTTGAAACGAATACTGTGGTTTATCCCAATTTCAAGTGTACAGATGATGTCATTTTTCCAAATCAAGTATTCGTAACTACTGGAAATGTTGAGAATATCAAACCAGAATTAAAGAAGTTAGTTGAAGAAGATAATTTGAAAACAACCGATGAAGGTTTCTTCGCAAATCAAAGCACAGTTGAAAACAACCTAACAAAGAATTCGTATGTTTTTCAACGTCAAAAACCACAAAGAAAATGGGTTGAAAAATCAAAAATTGAAAAAGAGAATTCAAAACAAGTTGTAAAGGAAAGGGAAATCTCCAGAAAAGTCCTAAAGTTTTAGTCTAATTTATGAAAAAGTCCCAAACTAAATTATGTTTATAGAAAAGCACAGAATACCGGCTAAAACTTCGAAAAAACCCTTTTTGGCCGGTTTCGGAGATTTAACCGGTATTCTGTCCTTTTTCGTTAGTTTGCTCAA